AGTGTTGTAACCTTTCGACCTTGTGGCGCATCAATTCGCAGCCGTCGGTAGAAAATTAGGTCAATTTTTTTCATTTGGAATGGTGAGATTTTCGACCGTAGCTTCAATGAATATTAATAATTCTGATTTTGCAGTCGGAGTTTAGTTCCTTGGTTGCAAATCGTTCATAAGCCGTGCTTCTTTGAAATTTATGTATAATCTTAATGATCGTAGAAAAAGAAACAAATTAGTGAAGGTATTTTTGCCGATGATCAAATGAGCAGCATGACATTTTTAAAGACATCATTGTGCTGGTATGGCCAAATTACCAACAAAAACAAAACATGAAAACTTAAAGTTGAAAACTTTAAGGAAACTACGTTATTTTTATATAAAAATTTTTGACTCTTGATCGTTTGTTTATTTGGTATTTTCTCCAGTCAGCAAAACTTAAAATATATCTCAAAATTCTATTTATTAAGGTAAGTGCAGAAGAAAAACGTCTTCAGATAACAATTTTTCCTCTTTTATAAAAATATATGCCAACACTATTATGAAATCAAACTTTTTTCTCTCTAAACAATAAATCTGATTTTTGGCCAGCTTTCACGAGGCTCTTCGGCGGCACTCAATTAACCTACCTCAAAAAAATTGTATGAGGTTGAGTGCCGTATCATTCTAAGTGAAAACGGTCTGGAAAATAGTGTACCCCAAGGTGAAAAAGCAAACAAAAATAAATTTAGATTTTACAAAAATTTCCATTTTCTAAGAATCATATAAATATCATTGTTGATACTATTTGATAAGATGCTTCCATTTCTTCTTAATGGTTCTGTCTTGGCAGCTACAAGCTATGTTATCACTTTGTAAGTTTGTTCCGTTACTAATTCAACACTCAAAAGTCTTGATTGGCTCATTTGCCAAACAGGTATTATGAAAGTGTATGTGAATTAGTTTCTTCATTTTATTTTTTTGAGACGCTTTGGAAAATGTTTTCACTTTTCAAAAAACTTAAGCAATTCTCAAAAATTGCCTCACCGATTTTGAAAAAAAAGCTGATCAAAGGAAAAACGTCGCCTATTGTCTAGGTACCTGCACAATCTCTTGATCTCTTTTTAATTTTCTCACTATCTACAGCCTTCTAAGATTTCTGTGGGGTGATTTTCTTTCCAGATTTTAAAACTATCTTCCCGAATCTAAAATTTGGGGTTCAATGAACAGAAAGGGTTGTAGGAAAATCGCCTTTGCAAGCTGTTACGCTCAATTTTTCTACACAAAATGTTATGGCCCTCGAAATTGTCGAATGCTTGTGTTTTGACAGTTTTTTTAGTAACCCTCAAATCTGAGATTTTGGATTCAATGGAGAGAAATTCCTCTGCCTCAGCCGTCAACCTCAGATTGTTTCACACAAAAATTTATCGCTTCGGAAAAAAACGTTTTTTGACCGTTTTCTGAAACATTTTGATTTTTCTCGAATACTATCCTCTCAATTCTGAGATTTTGGATTTGATCCAAAGGATGCGTTGTGGGAAACTTTCTTGCATAAGCGGCTTCACACAAAGAATAATGGCCCCCGGAATGTCAGCAATTTTTGACTTTTCTCAAGAATTATAATCCCAAACCTGAGATTTTGGGTTGAACCGAAACAACAGGTTGTTGAATTTCTACCTGCATAGGCGACTACGCTTTTTTTTTAAAATTTAGTCTTAAAAAACTCAAAATTTTTGCGGTCAAAATTTTTTTTGAAATTTTTTGATTTTTCTCAAAAAGCACCTTGCCAATCTTTGGTTGAGTTTCTATTTGGTAAAACCAGATTTGGGAATCTTCTCTGTTTAAGATGTCACTACTTTTTTGCAGAAAATATATGGATTTTGTAAAGGACGTCTTTGAGTTTTCGACCGTTTTCTAAAAACTTTACGTTTTCTGAAAATATACTCTTTCAAGTCTGAGATTAAAAGCAAAATCGGCGACTTCTCAATTTTTCATGGAAAGATGTTGTCTTTGGGAAAAATCCATTTCCAAATTCGGAATGTCAATAAAGAAATAACTATAGTTTTGGGCAAAGTCCAATTTTCGAAACTGCCCATTTCATCCCGCATCAGTATAGCAAAAACAAACAATATCAAAAGGGTACCTCCAGCTCTAGTTGGGCCCTTGATTTCTTTTTTCGAGACATACGAAAGTTTTGGTTCACTTCGTTTTTTTTTTCAAAGTTTTTCCTTTCAACTTCTTTTCTTAAATGTTTGTTTTATATTGAAAGTAGTTCTAAGCTCTGCTTGGCCTGTGTGCTGAAAGTAGCAGCGTTTCACTCTTATTCGCTTGTTCTAATTGCTTATAATCTGCCAATTACATCACACCGTTTTATTTTGAAGACAATATTAAACTTGCTTAAAGTGGTGTGAGAAGCAGCGGATTCTACAATGGCTGAACACTACAACTTCAATCGAAATTAACTCCACGAGTAAACCATTGGGATAAGATGCTTAATAAACCATAGGCTACGTAGCAGTTTTTAGACAACCGCGTATTCATACTCGTCAGTAAGCAGACAAATACTATGTGAACGAATCAGAATCGAGACAAAGAAGAAACCCATAATTAATAAATATTTATTTCGTAAGTTTGCTTTATCATCTCGGTCTGATTGGTTAACATAGTGTTTGTCTGCTTACTGACTAGTATGAGTTTGCGGTTGTCTAAATACAGACCGCGCTCCTAAAGTTTTTTTTTAAATCTATAGTCATTTTTTCTGCGTGGCTTGATAAAAAGATTTGAACGAAAAACTAGAGCTGAGGTATATCCAACATTCATAGTAAAATAAGCAAATTGTAAAATATTTCATGCTGAAAAATGACCAGAAAAGCTTATAAATCCAAAATGTATTAAATTTTTTTAAATTTGGTTTGCATTTTTTTCTCGAATTTTTGACGTTTTTGTTTTCAAAAAGCGCTAAAATAATAAAAAGAGCCGAGTAAATTTAAGTTTTTACCTCACAAATTAAGCAATTGTAAGCTTTTAAGCTGTTAAAGTAAACTATTGTATGACTGCTTGCTCAATCGAATTTGGACAAAAAATTGATAATTTCAAACCGGTTTTTCTCAACACTGGGAAAATTTTTAGAACATTTTTAAAAGTTGTTTGAATCACGACTGAAAGTGCTAAAAATTGATCTATCACTGAACTCTCTCCGGTGATTTTTTGTGGTAGCTGATTTTGCTTGGAAAACAAAAAATAAGAAAAAAACTAAACCACACCCGAATACAAAGTTCGTCCCCAATTTTTAAACGCTCGGAAAAAAACCTCATTTTTATTGTAAGGTGATCTTTTTATGTAAATATTTTCAAAGTTGAGAGCAATGTCCAAAAACTCATGAAATTGTGATTAGACCGAGCACAAACTCGAAAGATACTTCACAAACGGTCAATAGTTATCAATCAAACTTTATCAAAAACCACTTCGCAAACACGATTATAAAATGACTCAAGCCTAATCAAAACATTGCCAAAACTAGTTGAGCAAAACCCAGTTTGGAAAAATAATTTTTTATTACAAAGTTGATGTGTTGATCATTTCCCTCATAGAATGCTGAAAAAACGAACGCAATCAAGAGAAGAGAGTTTTTTTAACGCAAACGTAAATAGTGCGATGATTTTACAAATTCTAAGGTTCCGGCAGTCAAAGAAAGTAAATTATGAAATTTTTTGTAATCGCTTCATTTTAAAGTTTCGACATAAAGTGAAAAAAAACTATATTTTTGAAGATGGAAAACAAGTCCATATCAAAATTATCTTTACCAAGTTTTAAATTATAGTTGACTCCAATAGTTTCATTCTGATTAAATATCATCATAAGGTACTGCACAAAATTTTGTCAAAACATGTCTCGGGCACTGTCAAAACAATCAAAAACTCGATCAAGTATAGTCAAAACAAGTTTAGAGCTTGATCGAAATCTACCTCGAGCACGCTCAAAGCACATTCAATATCGGTTGCACGCGGCTGAAACATATTGAGCACGGTCGAATTATATCTGACTTCTGGGCCCGATGAAAAATATGCTTTTGTCTTCTGTGGAGAACGTTGAAACATACCCGAAGTTAGTCGAGACATTCGAAGAATATTTGTTGCATATCTGTGGCCAGTCGAGCAAAGTCATACAAAAACCGTTGTTCGGTCGAGAAAGCCAAATCATTCTCGATTTGGTCGAGGTGATCAAAGCCCCATCTGACTTGGGTCGAACAAAGTTGAGCACTTTCGGTCGAGAGAATCGAAACATAAACGAACTCGCTCGAGACGGCCGAACTTTTTCTGGCTTGGCTCGAAAAAGATTGTATTTTTTTCGGGTCGAGAAAGTCGAAACGTTTAAGATATCGGTTGAAATGGCCGAAGCCTGTCTGGCATGGATCGAACAAAATTGTGCGCAGTTTTTCGGTAAAAAATTTGAAGCACACGAATTTGGTCGAAGCGGCTAAAATATGAGAAAAATTGGCCGAGATGGTCGAAAGGTGCCAATTTTGGCGGAGAAGATTGAAACATGTAGTGAGTATGCAACCAGGAAATTATGAATTGTAATATTAATGACAACAAACATAACATCAAAAAATTTGGTGATACAGGAACTTGTAGTATTTCACTTTGAAAAGATCATAAAACATATTTGGTCTATTCTTATTAAATTTGTCGATGGTATTTTCAAAATATTTTTGAAAGTCATTAGCCCTTCAAAAAATGCATTATCAAAGATCGAAGTTAATGACAAGATACCCCATCTTGTCTGAACTATTACATATCGATAATTGAATTTTTCGATGCGTTCGTTGTTGCTGTAATTACTGTCTCTCAGCTTCCCTGGCATTCCCGGTAAAATTCCACGTCTCAATCAGATTTTTGCTTCCTCCATTTTGTGAAAACTGCAATATAAAGTGAATTGAAAATACGCATCAATTCAATTGGCTATTTTTTTGTAAGTGATATTTTGCAACTCCCACCTTTTCAGTGGCTGAGAACAAGAGGGAAGCTTTTTTTCGGCAGCTTTCTAGCTTCCAACTTTAAAACCATTTTTTCGGTTCTGTTATTAATGGCCGTCGGCTTTTATTCAATTTGATCGAAATTGAACCTATCTGACGTGGTTTTTAGTAAAAATTGCCTCGACTCATTCTCATGCGGCCATAAAAGATCAAGTTTCAAAGATTTCTGGATTAATTTATGTACTAAGTAATTCGATAAAGTCAGTTGTTGAGCGGAATTTTATTGGAAGCTGTAGTTTTTTCTTCCTACTTCACCAATAAATTTGCCCTATAAAAGGGCAAGCTCGTCTGACATAAGACCTACTTTTACCCCATATCGATTGAAAAATATTCAAGCTTAACAGGGACCCAAAGGACCCCTGAATTGATTAAAACAATTCATACCCTGCAGTTTTTTTACGCCCGAATTTCTTTGCTCCGTCATTTGTTTATATCATCAGTTGGCAAATTCTTTATTTTTAATCACCTGCTTCCGCTGAGTTGTGATACTCGCAGTAAATTATCTGCAGAGGAATATTTATGGTCTGATTAAAAGGATCAATAAATACTTGATTTTTCTTGCATCGTTTCCGCTCAAAGCTCGAACTTGAAGCTGAGTAAAAAAACCCGCTCATAAACTCAAAAGATTTAAAAAAAATATTTTGTAGTTCTTCTAACGAAGATAATTTTGGTTTTCATTTCTTCGTAATTTTCTTCTAAAGTTCATCTGTTCTCCACAGTTTAAACGAGTTGATTTTCCTCATAAACTGCAAAAGTTATTTTGCTATACCTGATTCTTATCATTGGTGCAACATCTCAAATCATTATCGTAATAACTCAATTCGTCAAAATGAGCAATACAATGTTCGATTTGGCGAACGAAAATCTTGAAATTAATGGAGCAGACAATAAAGGGAGTAACTTGTCGGTGGATTTTGCAAACGATACTGTTGAACTTGTCGGCAGTGATGATGGGGCGTCCCAGCCAGCTGACTTCTCCAAGCTAACTGACTTCTCCCAGTGTGAGATCATAGTGTTCCGCATTCTCCTGTTCACCCTGGACCCCAACTACTTATATCTCTTCTTCCTCAAGTGCACATTCAACACTCTGGGTGCTGTTGGTGCACTGGTGGTGGTGGCTGTATACTGGAGCAGGGCACAGAAACACCAGAGGTGAGAAGCACAAAATTAATGTCGGATCTTAAAACCGTTATAAGACTACTATACTAACAGACAAATCAAAAATTGTCAACAAACCCAGCCAATAGTCTTTTATTGATTAATTGAGTAAAGAAAACCTAGCGGCCCAAGAGGGACAAATTTATATTTTCTCGTTAGGGGGGGGGGGGGGGGGTAGTTGAGTTGCCAGAACAAGAAACCAATTCTTACATTTTTCAGGATAGTTCGAATGGTATATATACTGTGGCTGGTTTTGTTTCAGTGAGAAGCTCATCATAGTGTTGTCTCTCATCGACTTCTCATTCAACATCTGCAGTCTCATCTCCATCCTGCTCATACATGTTAGTCCTCGTTCAGTCAGCTCAAACAGTTTAAATATCACAAATTCAAGTTAAACTATTCATAATTACGATATGAGTTATAATTGGTTTAATTTTCCGGGTTCACGCTCGAAATGACCATAATTTGTTCTCTTGTTTGAGGCAGACCTTTTGTTTTCGATGTGAAAAAATCATAATTAAGCTGAAGCAAAGCCCAAATTATAAATTTTTTGGTTGTTCTTACCAAAAACTCATAAACTAGATCATAACTAAGCTGGAAGAAAGCCCAAATCACTGATTTTTTGGTCGGGCCTGCCAATTTTTTTCAGACTGAGTTGACTTTTCTCTGTTCAGTTCGACTGGCTGAAGAATGGCTCGGTGGTGGCTCACTTCATGTTCTGTGTGTCCAATTCCGCCTTCTTCTCGGTCGTCACCTTCTCCTCCATGTGGATCATACTACTCATACAGCTCAACAGGTCAATAAATTATGAAATCACAAAAAATGTGTTACCAATTAATAAGTCTCCTCACGTTTATTTTTAGCAAATTAAACAGAAAATTAAGGCTAGTGAGCAGGATTGGGGTCACTGAGCAGCTTTCCTTCATGTCACAAAAGACCAGCTGCTCAGATCTTAATGGAGAATAGCAGATGTGCTTAGCAAAGCTTTGTTTTTGTTCTGAATTTCAAAGAAAGTAACGAATATATATGCTCGGGGTGTTTTTTTCTCTCCGGTGATCAATCCCATGAACTTTGTGCTCTCAGGAGGGTCGCGCTCACCAACAGGTCCAGTTAAATTGTTCGTTTATACTTTTATGTTCAAAGTTTAGCGTGCTTTAAGTGAATTGAGGCAAGCTTTTATTTAATTGGCCTTATTAATTCACACAGCGACGGGTTTGGGGGGGGGGCTGTGGTGGTCGCCCCTTTTCTCTCTTTAAGGATTCGACCCCCTCGCCAACCAAAGGGTCATCCTTTGGTATGATTTTATGAAATCCATTTTCGGCCGACCAACCCTTAAATTGTTCTAAAGGCGCCGAAATATACTTAAAACGCTATTGTTTGGTCAAAATGTTCCAAAAAGTGGCAAAAAAGGGCTTTTTGACCTGTTTTTTCAAAATTTGCCTGCGGCCCAGAAAATTTGGTCAAAATAAGGTCTTAGAGCTATCGAGAAAGTCCTAGATCCGCACCTGATTCCATAAACGACGATATTATTTGCCTTAAAGTCATGTTTTTATCAAAATTTCATTAACCACAAAATAGTCGAGAATAATTAATTGGTACTTGGAACATTCAGGGCTTTGCCCTGATACGAGCAGTCTTGTTTTCAACATGCTAACTTATTCATCCCCATTTGATTGATCGCTTTTTTCATAACCAGTACTATCCGGTGTTTATCTTTGTGCTTTTTTAACTAGATTTTTTGCTGAGCCAGGCAGATCTAGGAATTACTTTTGCCTATTTAGGTCGACTATTATAAAAATCAGGCCTAATCTAAATACAGGCGGCAAAATTGAAAAGTTAACAACAGAAAATGAAATGAATTCTTGAAACATTTCTCGCAAGAGTTTTTTGTAGGTCAATCAATTTCTTTTTTTTGAGCTCTCCAAAAATTGGATAACGACTTTATTTTGATTAAATTTTCCTTTGAAGTAAATTAAGCCTCTCGCCTTCAAAAACTGGTATGGATTTTGATGCGTTTTAAACAAAAAATTTTATAATGAGAAACTTGGGACCTTCTAGCTCTACTAAGAAGGTTGTGCTTATTGTTCCGAGCACTGAAAACGTGTAGGAACTTTGTATTCAGGTAAGTTTTAGTTTTTTTGCTGTTCTCAAAAAATCCGGTACGACAAGTAAATGTCGGAAAGAGTTGAGATATATATCAGATTGAAAGCGTTGTAGTCGTGATTCGAACTCTATCAAAAAATTTTCAAAAAGAATAGTCAATGTAGAGAAAAACTAGTTCATATTTTCCATTTTCGAGTTCATACTCTCCAAATTTGAGAGAGTAAATTTGGAGAGTAAACTAGTTCATATTCTCCAAATTTGAGAGAGTAAAGCGAGCAAGCAGGCCTCCTAAATTTGAGAGAGTAAACTAGTTCATATTCTCCAAATTTGAGAGAGTAAAGCGAGCAAGCAGGCCTCCTAAATGCAGATAAGGTGTAAAATTTCAATTTTACTCCAGGAATAAAAATTTTTGAAGCTTCTTGTAGCGCTTTCTTGAAAACAGAAAATTCCTAAAAAACAACAAAAATCTTCAAGTTTAAAAAAAATGAAATTGCTTCCATTTTTTTAAAATTTTGTTTTGTTTTTTGATTTTTTTTTCTGATGAAAAATTGTTGTCGAGTGTGCGTTGTTGTAGAGTTCAAGCACCACGAGTCTGCTCGTATCGAGCAAAGAGGAAAATTTGCGAAAGTTTTCCATTTTTGTTTGTTTTTGCAAGTTTTAAGAGCCAAGAACGTAGCGATCACTCCATCATAGTTTGTGGTGATTTTTCTGTTTTCTTAAGGATAAAAATTTAAGCTCAAAAATAACTTTTTACTGTTTGATTTTTGATGTCTTTTTCAAGTTAATTAAAATTTTCAAAGTAAACAAACTCTTTTATCGAGTAGCAAGTTTGTAAGGGTTACGGAAAACGCGATCGACTTTAGTTTTGAAAGAAGATTTTAATTTTCAGATTATTCAGCGGTATAAACGTCATATCATCACAGAAAAAGGCCCCGGGAATGTCAAAAATTTGATTTTTTGAACGTTTTTGGAACGTTTTGATTTTTATTCTGAAGTAATGTCCCAAGTCTGAGCTTCTCGGTAAATTGAAACAACAGATTGTTGAAAACATTCTTGCCTGAGCGACTACGTCTTTTGGAAACAGTTAAGAGTTATGGTTTTCAAACTTTGACTGTTTTTTTTGTGATACTTTTCGACATTTCTCAAAAACTACCCTGCCATTCCCTCGTTAATGATTCAATCAAAAAACGCAGTTTCAACAATTCTCTGCACAAGCGGCTATGATTTACTTTTTGCAGAAAATGTGATTCCATAAACTCCTTTTAGACCGTTTAGTCGAAATTTTTGGACTTTTTTGTTTTAGTCGATTCTTTTTTGAAAATTACCCTATTAAAATTGAGATGAAGGGTTCAATCGTAAGAAAGGGATGCGAAGTTTTGTTCGGCGAAAGCGGCGCTTCTTTTTTTCTGTCAGAACAATTTCTTTTGTCTTTGGGAAGATTCTAATTTTTTGAAAAATTTTCCATTTTCTCATTTGTTTTATTAGAGAAACATTTCCCTGCTTTATTATAGCAATTAAAAAATTATCAAACAGGTACCTCCTGTCCTAGCTGGTCCCCCAGTTTTTTAAATCAAGATATACAAGAAATTTTATTTTGTTCACCTTTTTTAAACAATTTTCTTTTTTTTCTACTTTTTTTTCTATGTTCTATTGTATCATTAGTGTTGCGAAGCTCTGCTTTGCCTTTTTCTTGGTTATGAGTTTTGAACTTCAATATCTTTCAAATGGTATGAATTCCGCCGAAAAAATCTAGAAAAAAAGTTAACCGAGAAAAAAAACTCACTATGAGACAAGTATTACAAAACATTTAGCATCTTTTTAACTTGAGTCTCGTTTGATCATTTCACAAAAAAATATTGACTTATTCAGTAAAATCCAAGTTTATGTGTCAGGAAACTGTACCAACCGTTCCACTTGTTCCAACCGCTTTTTAACTTGCCTCAAATTGAAAATCAGCATGACATTTATACGCGCCTACCCTGGATATAAGATTGTCCGCGCGTCAAATTTTTTTTGTTGGACTACTGTTTGTCTGCCTTTTTTGTCGGTTTAGTAGCTGCAGTTACAAATCCACCTAAAGTTTGGGCATTTTAAAATCAAATTCGAAAACTTTTCAATGCATTCTGGTTTTTGGCAACTAATTGAGTTCCAAATATTACGTTTATTTTGTTTGCTATTTTTTGATTTTTTATGCTGTTTATTTTAAGTTTTTGTAAATTGTTTTCTTCATAAATTCAAGGAGTGTTCTGAACATTTAGTGCAGTGGTAATAACCATGCTGGAAATGACAAATACAGAAGTTCGATTCCAGTCTGAACCTTTTTTTTGTGGAAACTAAAAATTTTTAAATATTTTAGACTTTCGTGTCTGCTAATATTTGTCGGCTTAGGTCCCGCGAAAAAAAAAATTGGTTCTCTTGAGCCTTTCGAAAGCTCTTTGAAAAGATTTTAATGGTGCAGCTAATTTTGTTTCCGGATTTTTTGTCCTTTTGCAATTTTTTATACTTTTTCTGTACAAAAAAAAAATGTTTTTTTTTTTTGAGGTTTTTTTTTTTTCATTTTTCTTTAAATTTGCTGGTAACCGTAGTCATTCATTTTTTTGTATCGGAAGTTGTGCGAAGCACCGCTTTCTCTCTGTGTTTCAAATACACTGTTTTTCCAGCCCACTAACTCTTGATTTCTAATTTTACAAAAGGTAGAAAGCGTGCTGAATGTTGTTAAAGTATTGGTTATGATTTTATTTGTAATGGAACAACACCTACATACGCGTTCGTACTGAATAAACAATTATGGGCAGATGTTCAACGAACCACCGTGAAAACAAACTTTCAAAACATTTTGCTAGAAAATTAAAGGGAGGCTATTTGAAGGTGGTTAATCGAAAAGTTCTCACTGACTCATGATTTCTAATTTTACAAAAAGTCTAAAAGCGTGTTGAAAAAGTATAGACTTTGATTTTATTTGTAATGGAACAACACCTGCGGAGTGCGGTCTGTATTTCTGTATTAAGACAAGCGCGTAATCATATTCGCCAGTAAGCAGACAAATACTTTATTGACCAATAGAGATGAGAACGCAAACTTACGAAATGAACAATAATTAAGTATTAATTTCTACCAAGTCTCAAATCTGATTGGTCATTATAGTTTTTGTCTGCTTACTGACGAATATGAATACGTGGTTGGTTGTCTAAACACTGCTACGTAATCATCACCTGCATAAATACATACAGTCACTTAGTGAGTATACAATTATCGGCGGTTTTTCAACGAACCACCTGCAAACCGCTCTTCTTTGAAGCCAAAATTATGTTCGATTTACGTAAAATAATTGCTAAATTATTAAATTGAAAACAAATAATTACATCAAAGTGATCATTAAAATCTTAAAAATTGTGAGGAATAGCTTCATCAATAGTTTTTGAGCTGCTGGAATAAGAAAAAAATCTCAATTTTCTACGACAGAATATGCGTTTGCTTCGTTAAAGAGATTTCCCAAGCTAAGAGTATTTTTAACTGAGAAAAAAATAGTTTTTTTTTTGGCTTTTTGGACCGCTTATTTCAAACTTCGCCTTGTTGGATTGATATAATCTTATTTTCGGCTTGTTGATCCACGGCTTGTTGGCTTTACACCTGATTTTCATACATCAGGTTTGAAATTGATTCTCAATATGCAAAAGTATCATATCATACCAA